CCAGGATGTCCATGATGGATTTCCTTCTCTACTTGCCCTCTGATTATGCAATCTGGTTTTAATACTCTCCTATATGCTATCCCAAATTAGTGTTTACATTGAAAATAATACTCCTTCAGAGGAAAAGCCCATGACTGCATTTTCATATGTCTATAAAACCCCTTATCTTATGCAGTAATCCTAATATCAAAGGAAACCTAAGTTCCTAACTTTACAGGAGCATGACTGAGTACACAGTTACTTTAGACAACAAGTGAAAATATAGAGCAGAGTGCATTTGTAACTGTCCAATGTGCTACCAAGACCAGATTTCCACAGGGAATATACAGGTGCATAAACGTGAACCATCCAGCCTGTGTTGAAGAACTGCATTGCATGAACCAATGGTAGGCTTCTTCAAGCTTCTGTCAGTGAGTTGCTTAAGCGTTTCAGCAGTCCGGTAAAGATACTCCAGCTGGGTTTAAAAGTTGAATGCACATTAGTATTTCTAGGCCACAGTGATTAAAACATATGCATCCTAGGCTAGAAAGCAAAGAAAGAACTATAGATTTTGTTGAAACAATCTGTTGATCACTGTGACTATAAACAAAAAGAAGTAGTAATGTGATGCTTTCATTCAGATAATCCTCTCACTTGTGCACTGGTGTTTGACTCTGCTTTGGAGACATCTGTGATATTTTGCCAGCCAAAATGTAGCAATCGATGTGTGAACGAAAAAACAAAACACAAGAACATCTTTGTTGTTAGGAACAGCTCTGACTTTTGAGTTGTTGACCTAAAATCATCAGAGAGGTGTAGGGATCAGCAAATAGGAAAATGGTCTAGAAGCCAGCAATTGCTATTTGGTTGTTCTTGGGTCTGCACTGTCTTGCTATAGGTCCCTGAACATGTCATTTCACATTTATGTTTTTATTTCCTCACTAAGGCATTGTTTTTTCTATTTAAGTGGAAATCATTGCAGCAGGGGTTTGCACTTTGTCCTATGCTGAGTGTGATGGATTCTCTAGAACCTATTGTCTGGGATAACTTGCTTCTCCAACTGTCAGCATGCAAAGCAGACATCTATCATCACCAATTAATCGTATCTGAAAAAGTTCCTTATGCCTGTTCAAGTTGACAGATGCATTTGTCATTATCATATTGTGAAGCATCTCTCAAGCTTCTCTTTGTGCATGGAAGCTGCCCAAGCATGATTTTTTTTTTTTAGGAGGCTTTCTCAAAATAGTCTCTGGGTTGGTACTGTCAGTGAAGGTTTTAATAATATTTTCAACTCTTCAATATGTCAGCTCTCTTCAGTGCATATGCAATGTAAAAAGATTTCCACTCAGGAAAGTCTCACGATTTCCCTGAACAAAGATATTCTTTTATTCAATTTAGTTTAATGCATAACCTTACACTAACTTGTACATTCATTTCTGTATGGCGAGAAAGCTGCTTGAGGACTGTCAGATACCTATCTCATTCTCCTGTTAGTGTGAATAATTTACACTCAGTTTCTTGTGTTACCAAGAAATTATACTTTTAAATGTTATTTCTTTATTATGCATAAACTTTTCAGAAGATCACAGTACTCTGTACATAAGTTCATTTTGTATAAACTTACTGAGAAGACAAGATTGCTCTGAAGTACAAGGTTACTTTGAAGTCATTGAAAGTTGCAAACAAAGGGTCTCTGGAGGGACTTATCAAATATTTAAGGACCCCTTGCATTTAGGCCAGTGGAAAACATGTAAAAATAACCGGCCCTTCTCTCTTACTAATTTCTAAATTATCAGTGTTTACCTTATAATGTGAAGCTTCCTAAATTCTAGAACAAAACATTTTCAGAAAAAAAGTAATCAGAACTGATATACCTGCTTTAAGTAGGATTAAATTAGAGGTGACTTCTGGCAAAGCAGCACATCGTAGAACACATCAAAGAATCATATTCTTACGATTTTATTCTTAAGAAGGACTTTGACATGTACAAAAACATTTTTCATTCAAAAACCAAATTGCTAAAACCGTGTTTTCTTTAGATACTGATCAATCTACCCCAAACCAGCATCTTACACAAGGAATACTTGTTGTTTCAGTAAAGCCTTCTGTTAACTAGCTGGTTCTTGGTCAAGTGGTTTCTATGTACACGAATGTGCTCTTCATGCCATGTTTACCACTTACAGCTGAAAATATATACTTCATTAAAAACACAGGTAATTCAACTACAAACTAAAAAAACCCCAGTTATTTGAAACTTCATGTGGCATATATTTTATATGCTTCATTTACATAAACTTCCTCAAAGAAATGTATTGTAACTTCTTTGCCACTATTGTGACAGGTTTTATCTAACTAATTTGTAACAAGCATGTTCTTCTGTTTTCAGAGGCAGTTTTTACTTTGCTTATCTAGTTGCTAAAACGTAATCTTAGAAAAAACACTGATAAAGACACTTTTACATTTTTTTAGTTAACATCCAGTCCACTTAGTAACTAGAGTATAAGAGCTGGGGCTGGGGGGGGCTGGACTATTTGGTCACTATCTGCTACTGGTGGTATTTTAAGAGATAAACTAAGTAAAACTGAAGGTTACATTATGCTCTTTAAAATATGCAGGAAATACTTATTGATATTTGTCAGTGGTTTGTTAGTATTTTTATTAGCTACTTTTACAGCGTAAAGAAGGAATTGCTGCTATTCAGCTAATAGATTATTTTCCTCCTGATCAATTTATTGGAAGTTGTCAGATATGAAAAACATGTTGTTTGGTTTCAGTTTGTTGGAAGAAGTTTATAGCAAGATTAAACCGAGAGATTCCTTGTCAACAAAATTTGATGATGGGAACAAATCAGACTGTCATTTTCTATAGTGTGAAGAAATCCTGTATAATGATCCACAGAGGGCAGGTGATTTGGTAGACCCCAAGTTAGCAAATACTTTATCCTTTGTAGAATCAACATGACAAATTTTGGCACCGCTGTTAAATCACTAGTCACGCTTACACATTTACCTTTGAAGGCAGAATTTCTTGCACCATGCGGCTTCTCTGTAGACTTTAGGGTGATTTCCACACCAAAATCATATGTCTTGAAAAGGGTAAACAAGGGACCACAATATTAAAGCGGTATCAAAGTGAGTCCAAACACTTTGAAGAGTACCCCAGGTTTTTGGGTTTGGGAAGTGGAAAGTTGAATTAAATCTGTAAAAATTGTGGTGCTCTAAATAGGAAAAGGACATGGTGTTAGCATTACAGATACTTGTTTTTTTTCTACCTCGCTGTCATAATCTCTGCTTTATCCAGACTAAGTATGAGTCATATACTTTTCATGCAGGCCCCCACTTTCCTCTGAGAGTGACAATAGGAAATGGCCACAGCATGTACCTGCTGAGGAGATGTATTATTGGCCGCTATCCATTTATTGATGGCATGGAAATCCATTACCTTTCACCATTGCTCCTAATAGCATCCTACAAAATATTGTCAAATTGGACCCTGTGGAATTGCCAAGGAAAGAATGAGGACACCAGAGAGAGGAGTATCTGTCCCTTGCAATAATCTTTGCTCTCACAAGTTGCAATGTCAAGTGGCTGTTTTTTCATAAAGTCTATGTCAGAAGCATTTCTGAGTCAGTCGTCTTGCATTGATGTACTCATTGTGTTTTGGGAAGTAGGTTGGAGCACTTTTCAGGAGGCAGCATTCAAGGCAGGTGTATAACAGATTTTCTGATGAAGTTTTATTGCTGAGCCATTTAGCATCCTCCCAGCATTTCACTTCATTTAAACAACCATGTTTGGAACAGAGCCAAACTCCCAAATGAACCTTGTTGGTTACCTAATGTTAAAAAAACATAAAATAAAGACTCCTACTCTTGCAGCCTTAGCTTCTCAAATGATTCTGCTTACACTAAGAAAAGAGGTTTTATTTAAACATGGCATACAGCAGACTAGACTTGGGTCGATTACTTTTTTCCCAAAAAATTTACTGTAATCTTTTCTTAATGAAACTGTTTTGATTCAAGAAGAAGAAACATTTGGGTAGTTGGATAATTTCACATTTGTTTGTGACAAGTGTTTGGTGTTATTTACCATCTTCCTCAAACATCTGGGAGTATCCAAACACTACTGGATCATCTATAGAGAAAGCTTTTCTTCCTTATTTCTGCATGTTTTTTTGGAATCAGTGCCTTATTCAGAATGTATGAGCTCTAATCCTAAATTTGCCACTGACCTAAGCTCCCTGTGCCATTTCTGTATTGTTTCTTTGACATAGCTTATGCATTGATTCACTTTGTATATGAATACAACTAGAGATATTGTGACCTTCTGCAACATTTAAAAAGTTTGGATCATAAGCTGTTAAGATATTTCTGCATTAAGGGACTGAAAAATTACTGTTACATCTGTGCATACATTGGTATTTCTAATAAGGTTGTTCCAGATGACTATGAGATATATATGTATTTGTATATTATGTGAATGTTGTAAATAGGTATTTGTATTTTTGTATATAAGATGCATACATCCACTCTTTAGATCTGCTATAGTGATTTAAATGCTTTCAGGCTTTGATTGCTGAAGCAGAAATAACAGTGCAAAAAAATTCTTATTGCAGCACTATTTTTCTGTCAGAAATTTTATGTTCGTTACCTAGGCACTCTTACTTCAGTTTCTGGCCATTTCGTTAACCAGTTGTAACATAATTGTTTGCTTAAATTATATCAGTTAACATTCTAGCCTCACTTTTTTCTGCCTGGGGGAGGCCTGGGGGAGGTTAATTTTAGCCTTTATATTTCCGGTGGCTGGAACACATATGTTCCTTGTCCCTGTGCAACTGGCATGTTTCACTCATTAACTGTTTATTTCAGCTGTGCTGTCTGTTTTCTGTGGGAACTGTGAAGATTTGAGATGCTAATGTACTTTGAAAGACAGAAAACAATCTCAGCTATTCCCTTAAGACTGTCAGGCTGGTAGGAAGGCCTTTAATAACCTGAGCTTATGTTTTGTTATACACTGTTGTTTCAGGTTCAATGAATTCAAAGGACTTTCTGAGGGAAGCACAAATAATGAAGAACTTGAGACATCCAAAGCTTATACAACTCTATGCTGTCTGTTCTTTGGAGGACCCAATTTATATTATTACAGAGCTGATGAGATATGGAAGTCTTCTAGAATACCTTCAAAGTAAGCAAATGACTATAAAATAATTTCAAGGGGTGCCACAGCTGTCAGTTTAGTAAATACACTAACATAAAAGATAGAAGTACAAGACTCTGGTTTAATATAAAAGCTACATTATTTGTTGCGTGCGGAGATGAGAAAAGAGGAAAGAAAGAGGTTTATGAATTTTTGACGTGCCAAAGTATTTGAGAAACAGGAGCGAATCACATTCACAGTTTGATTCTTACCTTATAATGACCCACATTTTTCCACACAGTTCTACAAGTAGATGGAAACATACACTGGCAGAATAAAAATACAAGCATGCAGAAGGATAGGTCATCATATTTGACATGAAATAGAGGCACTTACACAAAATGTACTTAACAACTTTGAAATCTATTACTAGGCAGGGATAGCCTTTCACTGTGAATTTGTCCCTTGCCTATCGCACCAGGGCTTTTATCTCAGCAGCAATTCAAAGTGCTCTTTTGAAGGCAAATAATAATTAAAAATAAAGTTGTACAGCCTGGAAGAGACTAGCATAATGATTGCACTTTAAGTTCACCCCTGCTATTGAGAAATTCTTGATTCTAATGTTGTTACCCATTTTCAGTTTAGCAGACGTCTCTGAGATGCTAAATGTCTCCAAAGCTGTAATGATCTCTTGAAGACAAAATGTTCGCTGCAATTGTCTTGCTAAATTTCTTCTCTCTATCCAGCCTTTAAGGCAAAGCCCTGTGAAATACCACAGACAGTATTTACTATGACACATGCCTTCCCCCATCTTCTCTGTGGAACCATTTTTTAAGTGAGGCTCAGTCGAGGGATGATTACAGCTAAAGAAATCTTTGGTAGAGGGACAACTCCACCAGGCACTGCCCAGAAGGGCTGCAAGACCCTTGGGCCAGACATCTAAAGTTCTGTAGGCATTTAGTGGCCAGAGGCAGCAAGAGGCACAAATTTCCTTTAAATTCACATCTTTGGTACCTTTTTGTGCAGATTGCTGCCTATCTGTTTGAAAGAGCCTGGCACATCAGAAAATGTTTGCTGGGCATGAAAACAGTTATTGCACTGGAGCAGTAGCTCTGAAAAAACCCAGGATGAGTCACAGCTATTGCAGAGGTGAAAACTGGTCTGTTTGTGTGCGGAGCACAACGTGTCTGGGACACATCAGCGATCAGTTGCCAGCACATGCACAGCAGCTGCCCTTGCTGCAGACAGAACACGTCCACAGCCTGACCTTTGGCGAAGCCCTCATTCCTGTGCTGTGGTCCTGCATCGGGGAGACTGTGGAAAGTCAGTTGGTTTCCAGGCAGCCGTCAAGATAACTGTAAAAAATGGCTGGTTGAAACCCAGCCTGGTGGCATCTCTCCTTGTCTGATGGCCTAGGCACGGGGGGATAAACAGAACTAAGAGGTGGAAGTAGAGGTCCAGGTGCTTTGATAGCTATTGGTCAGAGAGAAGTCATTGCTGTCAGTGTAATAGGAAAAGAAATGTGAAGCTTGCATAAAGCTCTGTGACTGGAAGTGACCTGTATCAGCTGGCAGTCAGTGCCCAGCTCCTGATAAGCATTCTGAGACTCAGTCACTTCAGGGACCTGGAAAATATTTCCAAAAGGCTGCTTCCTCTATGTCTGCTATGGGTAAATATGGCAAACTGGAACAGAGGCAAAGTCCAGAGACCATTCTTTGGTTAAATTTCCCCTCCTAGAAATGCATGGTATGTTTTTCCAGCTTTAAAAATCCCTTGTTTTTCATGTGTAGCGACTACCACATTCCACCATAATGACAGCTACTTAATAACGATGGGCACGTGAATTCCCTGTGTACCCTGTGAATGTACTTAGGGATACTTCCTGATGAACACTTCTGTGCAGAGTTATTGAGCTGCCACCAGTATGAGAAAAATGCAACTGAAAACTTCTCTTTGTTATTGGATGTGAATGAAATTGTCATAAATGTATGAGTGTTTTTATCAATTCTGATAGACCTGGGGCTTGTTCTGACAGGGACACAGTCTTGAAGTTCGATGAATTATTACAGAGGCAGTGCTCTCAACTGGGGAAAGTGCTGCTTATTTATTTATTTATTTATTTAATGTCAGGCATCTGTCAATGAGAATATTTGGCTGTTTTTCCTATATGAGGTATTGTGATTGATTGCTTAGAACTGGGTGCAGACCCTAAGCCTTCTTTAATATTTTCTCTAATAAATTTTTCATATAAGGGCAATAGTTTTGTCAAAAAGTATTAGTAAAACAGGATGTGGAGGCGTTACATTTTCTTTATAGGATAAAAAATAATCTATGGGAAGGTTTTATAAATTCACCAGTAGTCCCTGGTTTTGAGTGTGGAAGTTATATTAACTTTGGGGCTTTTTGTTGTAGTTTTTCCTTCTTTAAAACATTTTAAAAAAAACTGAAGCACATGTATACTCATATGAATACAGCTGGAAACTCTTCTGACCTGCTCTCAGCCAGCCAGACAGGAGCTGGCTCTGGTCTGAAAACCTCATAGTTGTACTAATGCAGTGCTGTGCTTGAACTTGTGTACTTTGGCTGCCCCAACCTGGGATTTTGGAGGTGTAGTAACAAATCTTTATGAGACAACCATGTACGATGTGCACTTCAGATCCCAAAGAGGCTCCTGATCCACTGTGGCTCCTCATTACAGCTTTCCCTTCTTTAGCTCCAGGACCGCAGCAGTGCAGAACTGGCTCGTAGAGAGAAACTCTCCAAGAAATACTGCAGCAGCCAGGACAGTGGTGGCCTCTTCCCCTCCCACAGCCCACATGCTAAAGGCAGTAGGTCAGCCTGGTCTGGGATCCTAAACTTTCTTCCCAGATAGAAAGAAATATTCTTTTAGCTGCGACTCTGCCATTAGAAGTGAATCTCATCCTTGTCCTTTAACACAGTGAGCCTGTGTGTCCTGCAGGGAATGAGACAGGGAGGTTTTAGCAGCTCTAACTCCTACTCTGCACTGAAGGGGCTCATTAAACACAAGGCATATGAGTCATCCGTTTTTTTTTGCCGTGACATTGCTGTTCTGTCTCTTGGAGCCAGCTTGTTTCAGGCCAGAGCATTGGCAGAGCAATGACAAACCTGTGCTCAAGTCTGTCTGCATCCTTGTCTGCTTTCACCAGGAGGTAGTTCACAGCCTGGGCAGATGACGGAGCAGTGTGAAAGGGAACACGGAGAGAGGGATTTTAAACTGAGTCACATTAGCAAGTTTCCAAACCCCAGGTACTCATGCAAGGTACTTGTACATATGTAGTTATTTTCTGATTAAATACAGCATAAGCATCGTTTGTGGATTTATATCTTTGTTCAGCAAGCTGAATAATAAATGTTGATGTCTGACAGTTATCAGAACTGCAAAACTTCAGAGTGTTATATTATTCCGTGACCTGATGATGGATTTTCTTGATGGTTAAGCCATAGATTTTCACATAGCCTGATTTTTCTCCCTCTCTCTTTTAAAGGTCAAGGCAGCTATTAAACATATGTGTGGGAGAGAAAAAGACTTTCTGAGTCAACAATAGAAGTAAATAATCTTAGCGCCTGATTATCATGACAATGAGTTTAGCCTCAAAAAGGAAGTAGGACAATACACACACAGGGCAAGTTTAATCATTTAAAATTAATTTCTTTTACCTATTCATCTCAGAACATCCAGATGAGCAGGAAATTGAAGGCCTGGAGATTGCAGAATAGATTAGTAAACAATGGAATTTCGCACTCTTCATAAGGAGTGATTGCAAGGTTAGGTCAGATAAAATGCCAGAACTGGAGCAGGCTATGCAAAACAATGCTAAGACACACTTTCACTACAAATCAATTAAAAATAAGCAACAGAAAACTGCCAGCAACAAATGTTTTACTTCTTTAACACAGAGGCAGTAAGGAAAAGTAACCATCCTCAACGAGAAAGGAGAACTACTGATAAACGTAGCAGCAAACAGCTTTTTGATGCAGTTAAGATTCTGAAACAGAAAATTGAAATTGTTTTGAGTACTAGAGGCTACTCATGCACTACTACCTGGCACTCATGCTTCAGTGCTGCAGTGTTCGGGTTTGGGTGACATTGATGCTTGAATATGACACCGATTTGGCTTACCTAGATACCTTAGGGTATAAATTCTTTGCTATGAGGAAGTAGGCTGTCCCCAGAATGCCACACAGACCCTGACTCTGAATTCTAATGTGTAAATAAGCCAATGACTTTTTTGGGTACCTGTTTTACTATTTTTGCCTGCGGTTTTTCATGGCCTAAGGCTCTTTCCTTCATTTCCTTCATTTGCACATTGCTCTGCTCAAAGGTTTTCTACTACTTTGAACAGCCGATCTCTGATTGCCAAATCTCTGGGACTTGCTGATCTTACAGTGGTGGGAATGGCACTCACATTGCTTCAGAAAGTTCTACAAGAGAATCAAGCAGCTTGAAAGCAGCTCAAGGAGTCCTGCTGTTGAGTAGCAGCAACAGAGATAACAGCGTGAAGCAGTCAAGTGGACTGGAAAGTGAAAATGAGAGTTACACTTGACAGCAGATGGTATATTTCCTAGTAAGAATCATTGGAGAACAGGGAACAAGGCTAATTTTGTGCTTTTCCATCTTTAGTCAGCTTTGGCTACACCCAGTGAATACTGACATTAACTCTTACTCACAGTTTGGAACGGGTTATGGACTTGCCAGAAAGGCAAACATCTGCATTGCTTTTGCCTTTTTCTTTGGACTTTGTCAGCAGCTCCTGACTCTAGCCTAGGCCTAGATGTAGGCCTATATCAGCTGCTGCATTTAGTATCCACTCATTTTGGAGAAGATGGGACAGGCATTGTTACTCAGTTATTGTGAAATTGGCTTCATAACTTTAAGTAGTGTCATTCACTAACTGTATCATTTGGTCGGGCTGTTACTTTATTGTATTGCATGGCTTTGATGATTCGTGTTGGCTATTTGAACCAGTCATCTGTCATGTTATTTATGTCTGAATACCACTGATGCTATGTTTTCCTTGTCATCTTCTTTTTAAACAGAAGATGCAGGCTCCCAAATTTTCCTGCAGCATCAAGTAGACATGGCTGCTCAGGTGGCTTCCGGGATGGCTTACCTCGAATCCCAAAACTATATTCACCGGGATCTGGCAGCCAGGAATGTTCTCGTTGGTGAACACGGGGTTTACAAAGTGGCAGACTTTGGACTTGCAAGAGTTTTCAAGGTGGGTTGCGAGAGGGTGTATTGGCTCTACTTTAACTCTGGGGAACAAGGTGGAAGAGGTCAGCTAAGGGATGAATTATAGCCTGTGTATCACTGGGTTCAGGCAAAAGGCATGCCCGGAGAGAGAAGGACCCCTAACGTGTTTATTTGCACACTCTGTCTGCATTATCCCATGCAAGGTTAAAAGCCAACCTGTGCCTTTGTGTCGGTCTGAAGATGGCATCCTTGTGTCTGCTTCCCACTCAGCCATTAAGGAAGGAGCCTGGCAAGCAATACCCTTTGCTGCACAACCTTTATCCACAACACCGGTGTCTGCCATATGGAGAGAGGTCACAGGAGTGATGGCAAAATTTTATTCCTGAGCCTGTAAGAGAAGGCATGTAAAAATGTATTGACAGTTATTTTCTCCTTGTTCGCTTCCCCACTGCCTCCGTGATGCTTGTGAGTGCAGGTAGCAATCATAAAAGGACCTCATTCCTCTCCATGACTAATAGCAGAGTTCATAAAGTGAGCTCTCAGGGCTTTAAATCTGGTACAGTTTCAAGTTCTTTGCCATTGTACTGCTTTTTTTTCCTTTAGCCCTTGAGGACATGGAATGTCAAGTCACGCTGACCAAGATCACCCTCGGAAGGAGCTGTGGTTTAGAAATGAGATCTTCCATCTCTGAAAATTATTGGATCAGAGTTGGAAAGATTTGATTTGCCATATTTTATGGATTTCAATATATAATCCACAATTTCTGAGGTTTTATTATTGTTTTTATTGATTTATGTTCTTGCACTGAGAAGGAAAAACAGAGAAAAAAGCCCTCTGCTTCTCGTTTGTTTTTCTCCATTCAAGCAGCAGAAATTGAAGTTCATAACAGAGTTGGATTTATTACACAGCGAAGTATAGAATAATGGCTTGACGATGACATCAAAGGACTTTGAAAGTGCTTTTTTGCTTAATTTTGATTCTTCTAGTTAGGCATAAGTTTAGATCGCACATTTTTTAACATGAAAACAAATATTTTTAAATGAACAATGCTTACAATGGATATTTCTCCTCCGTCCTCACTAGAAAGGGTAATAATTTACAGCTGTTGACATTTCTTGTTAAAACTGAACTTTACTAAAATACTCTGTCGTAGAACCATCTTGGCAGACATTCTTAGGAATATTCTGTCTCCTACGCCAAAGCACCAACATGGTCACATGCAAATATCCCAGAGGCATAGGCGTGAGAAATGAAATCTGTATTTCTCTATGCGTTAATTAGCATAATGAAATAATTTTTGATTTCTAGAATAAGTATTATGGTCAAGATGCCAACTGTATCAGTATGTAGATAAAAAACACTATCCACCAGTCTTTTCAAAACTATAGGGCATTGCAGCTGGAAAATGTATCTTCTGTATTAAAAATAAACAAAAAAAATCTGGTACACATTTGCCTGGATTTGCATGTAGAAAACCTGACCGGGGCTTGGGTGTGACTGATGTACACTAAATTGCATTTAAGAATTAGAGAATAAGTGTTCACAAAATTTAGATGTCTGTGGTATAAAACTTTAAGGACATGGTTCTACAAATTTGCAAGTAAATCTGCTTTTTCTATGTGTCTTTCATCTTCACTTTACTTGAATTAATTGGACCCTCTGTAAGCTAATATGTTAATTTGAACCACTTGGAGTTTCTTCTTTGGTCCCCGAAACTGTCTTAAGTGATTGTTATCAAAGTGAATGGCCCTTCAACACCACAATAAATCACAGAAGAAAGGTTCCGAAATTCATTAGCTCTTACTCTTGCCTTCCCTGTTTACTGAGGACCAGAAGTGGAGCCATTTGGTCTCCAGCATCAGCAGGATGTTTACACAGCCACTCCTGACAGACTTTTGAAATCTTACATGCCAGGTCCAGAATTCACAGTAGCACGTCATAATTAATCATGAGCCACTCCAACACTGCGTGCTCACTTGAAATGATAAATGCTTTAGAAAAGCCTCCGATGAGCGGTAACATTTCTCAACTCTGAAGCCCAGTTCAAGAATAGACTTCAGAAAGATCGTGCTTTAATACGCTGAAAGGCCAGTGCTTGGCTAAAAGAGGATAAGATTAAGCACATGCTTAGCTTAATCAGGTGCTTAAGTGCTTTGCCAAAGCAGATCTGAAATCAGACTTGCTTAATTTTTCACCCATGACAGGTAGAAAATGAAAATATATATGAAGTTAGGAATGAATCAAAACTCCCAGTGAAGTGGACAGCCCCGGAGGCAATCCGCTACAACAAATTCAGCATTAAGTCAGATGTCTGGTCATTTGGAATACTTCTGTATGAAATAATCACCTATGGGAAGATGCCTTATGCAGGTAAGTGCTTTTACCTAAAGAATGATGCTTGGAGAATGACACACGCGAAAAGTTGAATGCCTGTACTGTGGACAGGGTTAAAACTGTAAATACAGAAAGAAGGCTGTTCAGATGAGGTCCATTTAGTGGGTCAGACCTTCTGGCTGCCCTAGGCTCCCTGGAAGCTTTCCAAAGGCTGTGATTAGCAGCCATTCAAGCTTCCTCTCTCTGGAGTCAACCTGCATTGCACAGGCACCTATGCCAACTGGCTATTTCCCTCCAGCATCAGATCAATGATGCCAATTCTTGGAATGTGGAAAAAGGGAAGGTCTTTCTATCCCCGGTCCTGCCCTTGTTGTTTTGTTTTGGGGTGGGTTTTTTTGTTTTTGTTTTGTTTTGTTTTGTTGTTTGTTTTTTTGGTTTTTAATTTATTTTTTGAGGATATCTCATGAAAGAACAGATTATTATGTGTAAAGTGCTGCATAGGCACTTTAGGAAGAAGGTGTCTGAAAAATGAATAAGGGTGTTTTTACGCCCTTCTCTCATATTTGACTATGGCAACAGAAAGTCTTCATAAAGAGAAGGGTCACAAGAGTTAGGAATAAAATATCACCAACCTCAAAAGTAGATTTAATGGTATGAGAGCAGCTATTATTCCTAGTACTGTGAGAAATGCTGGAGGAACTGTGGCTCCAATAACACAAGATATCAGTGAGATGATTGACTGTGACTCATTTTGTGCTGGTGAGGAGAGCACAAGGGAAGGACTAAAGCAAAAAAAGTTGTGCTGCATCTGTACAGGCCTGAGGGGTAGTGCGTTCACCATAAAGTACATTTCACAGGGTCCCAAACTGGTATTTCCTGTAAAAGGAAAAATTGATTTTGCTTTTTATTCCCACCCTTACCTCCTGTGAGAACATTCTGAAAAAACACCCAAACCCCCAAAGCCACCAAAGCCAAACATCCTCAACTCTTTCTTATATAAACTATAGGCGTGTGCACATGCACGTACCAACATAAATAAACTATTCAAGTGTAAATGTTATGTAATACCATGATTCTGGGTATTGTCTGAAAATATGTTCAGCATTATCCCTTTGCAAAAGCATGGTTTACCTGTATCTTTACAATAGAAACTGTCCTTTTTCCATGCCTATTTGCTTACTTGGCATTTCTTTCAGGAGTTTGTCCTCAGTAATCAGTTAGGAGAAGAGATGATGTTGGTCCATGGTGGCAGTGGTCAATGTACAGAGAAACCATAGAATCACTCAATGGTAGGGGTTGGAAGGGACCTCTAGAGATCATCTAGTCCAACTCCCCTGCCAAAGCAGGTTCACCCAGAGCACGCTGGACAGGAATGCTTCCAGGCAGGTTTCGTATATCTCCAGAGAAGAAGACTCCACCACCTCTCTGGGCAGCCTGTTCCAGTGCTCTGTAATCTTCAAAGTGAAAACAATTTTCCTCATATTGGGATGGAGTTTCCTGTGTTTCAGTTTGTGTCTGTTGCCCCTTGTCCTGTCTCTGGGCACCACCGAAAGGAGTCTGGCTCCATATTCTTGCCAACCACCACTGCATTCAGAAGTCTAAGGAAAAGAAGTAAAAATTATGCAATTCAAGAGTTAATTTAAAGAGTAGGATAAAATGGAATGGGAACAGGACAATAGTCTTAATATATAAAGGTATAGCAAAAGTAAGGGAATGATTTCTTCTCATGGTGACAGAGCAGGTGGGATGCCATCACATAGCTGTGCCAGAGGAAACTTAGGGCTGAGGTTAGGGAAAACTTTCTAAATGTGAGAAAAATTCAGCAGCAGGACAGATTTTCTTGGGAGGTGGATGTTAACTGCTGGTTTGGGACCCTCCAGAGATTCCTGTGGTCTGTTGCTGTCAAAGGGGACATGCTGAGGCCACCTCTGCCCTCGTGTGCCTCGCAGAAGGGCATCCTGTTGCCTCACCTGGGTAGGAGATAGGGGCATGTGGCATCACTAAGCAGACACTGAATAGTCTAACAAATGAATGAACTTTCTGCCTGCAGGTGTGTCCGGGCACCAGGTGATCCAGATGCTGGACAATGGGTACAGGCTTCCTCAGCCAGCATCCTGCCCAGCGCCTTTCTACCGGCTGATGCTGCAGTGCTGGAACGCGGTGGCGGATGAGCGGCCCACCTTTGAGGCCCTCTGCGATCAGCTGGAGACCTACTTTGACAATGACTCCGAGTCCTAGGACCGTTCCCTGAACATGTTGAAATGAACCCCTACAGCGTGGGGGGCTAAGGGACCCCCATGGTGGGGGCTGATGGACAGATGCCAGCCAACATGGCTGAAGGGGAAGAGGGCTGTGAAATCAGCCTATCCTTCCTCGTGGAGGTTATTAGGGGGTGCTGAGGGATTCTGGTATGTTCTCATCCTCGCACTGAGACTCAAAGACACTGAAAATTTTTGCTGCTGGCAAGTGTTTTGCAAGACTAAGCATCAGGAAGCTGGAGGGGTGGGGGGCTTTTAAAAAAATAGAATGTCTTCCATCTATTTTTTAAATAGCAGATAGTTTGTCTACTGTTCCTCTTTTACAAGAATGAACACAATTATTATTATGAATTCTTGAAGCTGTTTGCTCTTAGTGCTGTTAAATAGTGCTATGGAACTGATGAGTTATTGCCATTGAAGTGTAAAGATTTATTTTATAGTTCTTCATTTTAGGAATATTGGAGGAAAAGATATTTTAATATGAACTCAAGACTTCCTTAGCTTTTAGAGCGACAGCCCCTCCAATCCCACTGCCCAATTCACAGAGCCTCTCCCACAGGACAATGCCCAGGGCAGGTCTAACTATTTTGCAGAGGAACTAGCAATCCATGCTTTCATCTTCTCTAGATGTAACTCTGATACAGGAAATTTAAATAAGAGATGATGATGGTTTTTTTTTGTTCCATGGGGAAATAGATCCAAGGTGCTTCTGCTAGCAGTCTTCACAGCTACAAATTCTAGGGTTTTTTTTCATTTTTTCTAATTAACTGCAATAAAACTGCTAAAACCTGATATCACTGTGACAATTTTATGTTCTCAATTGTGAGGCTTAGAGAACCAAGTTTCAATTATTTACTTATGATTCATCAGTTAATTATTTAACAACATAATTCAGGAATTAAGAGCTGTATTGTGTTAACATAGCATGAGCTCAGTATAAGTGTGCTACCATTTTCCTCTAATATCAAAAAAGGGTATAAATAAATGAAAAGATTCATTACTTTAAAGACTGGGTGGCTTTTATTGCATCTTTCTGATTTTCTTCTCTTTATACTTCAAGTCCATTCATCTCAGTGCCTTGCTTCTAATTTTTAATTTCCTTTTCCCCTCTACTTTTGGAAGGCAGCACACTTTTTTTTTTCTTTTTTTTTTCCTCACACATCTCTTATGTATTCACTATTCAAAACTCCTTTCGTTATTTATTGTTTTTCTCCTCTTTCTGTCTCACTACCCTTAGAGTCTTTCTAGCGTTCCGTCTCTATTCACCTTAATTTTCTGCATAGTGTTTCTCCCTATTAACTCCCTTTATTCTAATTACTTTTGTAAAACATAATACAGCGATAATTAATTAGCTGTCATAGCACCCATGTGATTTTGGAAAGTAATCATCCACTCTGAAAGAAGAAGAGGTTAAGTGGCTTTGCCAAACCCATCCTGATAAGAATTGGCATGGAAGGAAGTGGGAGACTCCCAGGAAGAGTCTCGTGCTGTAATACCATCCCTGTTTGTTTTGAGACCCATGCTAGTTACTGGCTCATGGCTCCAACAAGATATTATTTATAATTATCAAAATTCCATCAATCCATGTGTCTCTCATCTAGGAACTGTGTTTTACACCGTTACAGCATGAGGCTTGCATATCCCACAGAGCAGGTTTATCTGTGTCAAACTTGCAACTTTGATGTTCAAGCACTATTTCCAAGATGATTTTTCAGACTGAAAACATTAAGAATGTTGCAAATAAAAGTTGAGATTGCCCAACTCAAAAGAAGTGTTGATAAAAGAAACACAATCTTAGAAAACACAGATGTGTGCGGTTCACAGGGCTCTCTCTATATTTTTATTTTTTTTTCCCCCAAAGATGAGTTGCCAGGAAAAAAAAAATTGACAGCAGGGAAACAGCAAAGTTTTCAGAATTCCAGATTATACAAGCTGGTCCAAGCTGTTCTGTGATGGCCTTTGCCCTTGGGTGGAAGTCTTGAAGGGCTCCACTGAAGAAACACCAGTAATTCTGAAGAAAGCATACCTGTACCTTCTGAATATCTGTACCTTCTGAAACCAACATACGAGGAATAAAAGGTCTGTTTGTCCAGCTAAGTTGGATGCCTTATCTCCTTAATTTCTCCTGTGGTCAAAGGAGAAGGAGAGACTCCTTGAGAAAGTGAAATTGGATTTCTTCTCTGAAGCATCCTTGCTGGGCTTCTTTCTGTTTGTTGCTGTAAAGGTGTCCAGGAGAGATGACACTCTAGGCTGAGAGGTTTGTGTAATAACCCACGTGTTGAAAACTGAAATTAGCTGTTTCAAGCTCCTTCTACTAAGTGTGGCCTCATGAACTACCTTTAGCTGAAAGGAGCAGAAGCTGCATTTGAGCTGCACCCTGCAGAGCGGGCACCCGCATGTGATGGCCACCAGGTGACATGGCTTGGCACGATGAGCTGTTGCTGGCAGGCAGGATTCCCCTGCTGCTGCATCCTGCCATTTTATCTGTGGTGCTTTCTCTTTGCGAGCTCGCAGAGCCGCAGCTGGTTGATGGAGGCCGGGTCTGCCAGCCGCCTCTTGTATGTGTTGGCCCGGGGTGGGAGACCAGCAGCAGCACTGGCTGAAAGCAGGAGGTAGGTCCACTTTGGTGCAGCTTATTATAGGCACTGCATCAAATAAATTTATTTTGTATTTATCTTGAGGCAGCCTGTGCTTATTTGGCCTCCTCAAGGTGATGTACTATCGGTGAGGAGGTGCAGTCAGTCTTTGTCTTCCAAGCCTGAACACCGTTTCCACCCCATTGGTGTGTGTCCTGTGACCAGTGCCCCCTCTTTTTCTTAGCAAGGAAAAGCAGGAAGGCAGGTATGCTGTGGGGCCAGGAAATTCATTTTTCTTTTGCACTGGGTTGCTCTGAGAAAGTCCGTTGCCTGGTAGAGCCCTTTTGCCACTATCAACCATCCAGCTGAGGCCAATCTTGGAAACCACAGGTGCTGCTATGAGATCCAGTGATTCCTCTTTCTGGTTTAAATCCATGTATTTGCACTTGCTCCATTATTTTGTTTGTCCCTAAACTGCTGTTATACCAGTGAAATGCTGCCACTCTAATATGAGCTCTAATTTTGTATCTCTTTTTCCCTGGGCTGGCAGGGGAGCAAAGAAGAGAAAAATCAGCACTGCAATGGAATCGGCAAAGCTCTGGAAATAAAGAGTAATGTGGAAAATGAATCATTTGCTTTCAGCACTTTCTGTCCCTATTTTTGCAGTCAAATGGATCCATTACCGAGAAAGACTGGAGGACCAAGGCAGCAAAGGGTGATAAACCTTCACAGAGTTCAATTTGCTTTACAGGCAATGCAACAAGCAAAACTGTATCTTTCCAAGTCCAATTCCATTTTATAATAATTTTATTTCTATGACAGTTAACAATTATAGTCAGAAGTCTTTGCTATGACTTGATTTAAATTAAATATCAAGGTTATCTTTTGCAGTTATAGTGCACAGCTAGATGGGTTTAACTTATCTCATTCTATTCTTAAGGCGTTTTATGTTCAAGGTTTTGCTAAAGCTATCTATTCCACTTGTTTTTACCTGATGGATCATGGAGGGAAAATAATGGATTCAGTTATGAGAAACAGTAATAGATTTTTTTGAACTGACATAAATTTCTATGTTTAGATAGAATAAAAGGATCAGGAAGAGATAAGCTGAATTTTCTACAATAGACCAGTCCTTGTGAAATTCTCTTCACATAAATTGAACCGAGACATCTTTTATGTAATATTTTATTTATGTAATTCAGTTATTCTTTGAGAGCTAAATAATTTTATGTGGTCTTACAAAAGATAACTTAAAAACGTCCAACCAGAAAGAAAGAACCTCTATTTTTCTTAAACTCTCCATTCTTCAGAAAGTGATGGAGCAATGCAATTATTTTGAACTGTAAATATTAGGGAGTCCCTAGTGTTTATTTTTGACTCCTGTTGGAGAACCTTTGCTCACCTTAGCTGCATTCAAGAACATATGCAGAGACACCAAACAGGTGATAGGGCAACAGGGAACATTCTATCACTTGTACTGCTTTCATTTTTCTGTCCACTGTATCTCATACATGCTCTCTGAATGACTTGACTGCGAGCAGAAATTTTCTTTGTATGGATTTGTAACTTAATAGCATGCAAGGAACGCAAACAGCAGAGTGCATAATTTTATTGTGGTTCAGAGTCAACAAAATATTGGTGCATAGAAACGAAGCAGTTGACTCACCCAAGTGATTGCTCATCATGCTCTCCTATATGCTTCTGTTTCACTCCTTTAAAAAGTGCTGTAGTATCCTGTCCACTCAGTGCTGCCATGGTCACTGTGACTCACTGGTCAGTTCTTTGTAGCATATGGATTTTGGAGCAGTTAAAAATGCTGCATGTACGAGTTGTGCCACAGTGATCAAAGACATACAGATGTGTGGTATATTTCTATCGAAAGCTGTGTGGCTTCCATTCTGTTCCATCAACATCTGGGCCAGATGTGTTCTCCAGCATGTGAGAGAACCCTGCCTCAGACCCCTGTTTGCCCAGAAGAACTTGGCATATACTCAAACAAAATACCAAACTGGCATCTATGAAGACGACTTCATTCTATCCACACTTACTATTAGCAGATGCATGTAATGTATTTTTTCAATCTCAGGCTTCTCAGGAATGCCTAATAGAAAAGAAAAAATCATCAGTATAAGAAATGACATGTATAAGCAAGCTGGGGAAATCACTGAAAAGTACTTTGGCATTTTAATCTCCACTCCACTACATTGTGTTAAAGAATTCAGTCCTTCCTCATTTTGGTATAGAGAAAGTTAAAATGTACATTTGAAGCATTCAGTATCTTAGAAATGAATTTTAGCCAATGCCTGGATCTAAATATCACTAGAATTGAAAAACATGATAGAAATTGTACCTTGGTTTCCACCACTATTTTCAGCAAAATAAATTCTGGTAAAATTAGGCAGATATGTGACAAGACAGATATACAACAACTTTTTTATTTCTTCTTCCTCCCCCCAGTTCTCTACCAACATTATTACAGGAGGCTTAGAACACCCATAGTGTAAAAGGACTTTTTAGTTACATTGAGAGATTAGAAAAGAACAGAAAAAACTCTTAAGTTAAAAAAAGTCAAGCCTTGAAGATTATTCCCAAATAATGGGAATAATTACCATTAAAAAAAAGGAGAAATGTAGGAAGAGTTTATCATCTTTTTACAATTTTTCATGTCTTTAGAAAACAAAATGGTAAAACATTTCATAGCAAACAGAAAGTTGCTGCTGAATTTGTGAAAAACGCTCTTTGTATAAGACTGTTGTGTTTTTCACACTATTAGAAAAGAAAAGCATATTGCACTGCATTCTTCTCTCTAATTACTTGAGTATACTGGCTTCTGTGTTTTAATATACTAGAGAATTCAAATATATATACAGCAATATCAAAAAGGTTTTATTTTTTTTTCCTCTGTAGCTGGATAGTTATATCTCACTGCTTCGAAGAGTATCTAAACATGATAAAGTTTGTGTTGGTGGTCATGCGTGTTTTTCAGCATTGTTTTTTCTCTCATTTTTTTTTCTGTTCTTGATATTTGAAGAAAAAAAACTCAGATATTTTTATACTATGATTAGTTTACTTACATTTGCAAACAGCAAAACCTGTTCATATTCCAAAGTGCTCCATTACTCTGCCAAATATTTAAAATGACCAAAAATAGATCACAATGCATTCAGTGTTGTGGTTGTTTGTTTTTTTTCCTATGAGGCAGCTACTTATAAAAAAGTCCCTGACCACTCTGTGCCATCAACAGCATCTCAGCTTCACATCTCTCTCAGAAGCCAAAAGAATGCAAACTGAACTTGCATGTTTTTCTAGAACTCCTTGGCTCTGGATTAATTTGCACCAAAATTAAAAGTTTCAAAAAAGTGTATTTCACTGTTCCTTGTACCTCATCTTCTAAATGTAGGCACCAGTTCTCCAAAGTTAGCAAGGTCATC